TTCTAGCTGTGCATTGAGAATATCTCCTCATTAATAAAAAATGCAAGTATAAAGTTGTTTCCAATGCAAGGCAGCAAAAGGTTGTGAGGATAATTTTATAAGGACTAAATCCGATCTCCCATATGGTGCTCTCCGTTATTTATGTTTTGAAAAAATAAAGACGAAAGATGCAAAGTACAGCTCTCTAGTTGGTAATGATACTCTTTGGATCTACTACCCACATATTTCCATAAATGACAAGAGAAATGTTCTTAATGCACAACAGTAATGTTCCATGGGCATGTGAGATCTAGGGGTGGCCACAAGCCTCATGAAAAGCTCGGCTCAGCTTGGTTTAAACTAAGTTTTGAGTTGATCTCGAGCCCGATATATAGGTTCATTTGCTAATCAAGCCGAGTTGGAGCCTAGTAAAACTCGGCTCGTGATGCTCGTGAGCCTAATCAAGCCTAGTATAATAAATAAATAATTTTTTATTATACATACATACATACATACATACATACAAATACATATATAATAAAGAATTTTTATAATTCTTATTTTTTGTATGTAAAACAAAGCAACTTTTTATATAGTAGGTGCACTTTACACCAGTTAGAAAGAAAGACAAATTTCTTAAACTATCCTAATGGTTTAGGTAATTGACTAACTCTACCCTTACTATTTAAATATTGTCTTACACCATTTCTACTGTTTCTGACCTAGCTCTACCCTTGTCGTTAGCGTTTCTTAATATTCCGTCAAAATCCGTACACATGTGATACCATGTGACGTATAATTTTTTTAAGCCCAAATTTACCCTTTATCCCTCTTTTGTAAGCTTGGCAAGAATCATCACCCGTGAGAGAGACTATTGCAATCACCGTCTCTTTAGGTATCTTATTTCACCAGTAACCAATCTTCTTTGACAATAAGAGAAAGATGGAGTTTCCCTCCATGTACACACATAGAGAGAGAGGAGGTGAGAGTGAGCAGCAAGAGAGTGAGAGATAGAGAGATAACGGGAATATTAACAGAGGGATAGTGACAGAGATGTTACCAAACCCGCTCATGCAACTTGCAGCAACGGTGGCGGAACAAGGGAAGTGAAAGAGGAGGGGAGAGAGAAAGAAAGAGAAGGAGAGAGATAATCGGAAAGAGAGATCAGGAGATAGGGAGACAAGAGTGAGAGAGAGGTGGCGGAGAGTGAAAGAGGGATTACCAAATGGCAGTGGCAGAATAGGGGAAGTGAAAGAGTAGGGGAGAGAGAAAGAGAGAGAAGGAGAGATAGCGGGAAAGAGAGAACTACCACCATTGAAGGATCTCCTGGTGATTCAAATGGGGCATCTTCTCTATCAACAACGCAACCACCTTGTTGGAGACTACTGAGTCATCGAACAGAAAAAATGGTTGTTTGACGTTGTACTAGAGCGAGTAGGAACCGGAGAGGGTTGCTTGAGGGGGAGGAGATAAGCAGCTGAATGCAGAAGGGGCCATCTCTTTCCCAAGAAGATTAGGAGAAATCTTCCTGCTTTGAAATTCATTTTTCCTTGACTTCCTAAAATTTTAGAAATCTTCGGGGCGTGGACCTCATTCCCCGTCCTTGACCCCACCGGATTGGGGAAATCGGATACCCATTGGAGATGGAGAAAATTGCCATTCCTATGCACCCTTCACCAAGACTTTGAAAGATCACCTTTTGGTACACCCGCTTAGTATTCTGATTGCATTGTAAAGTGAGTTGGTACACCCTATATTTGTAATAGTTGGTTCAATTTTTTTGCAATCATAGTCACATGTTGGTTTGACTATTTTTTTGAGAAAATTCCCGATTAGGCTGAGTGCCAATTTAGTACTCCAACTTTAAAATGCGACAATCTAGTATCCGAATTTTAATTTTGAGACAATGTAGTATATACCGTTAATGGACCGTCAGTTATGTATATCACCTGACTTCATGTGCGATTTAAGACTTTAAAAAATGTCAAAATTACCCTTAAACACTGTTCATCATCTTCTTTTTCAAGAAAATGAAAGAGAGGCAAACAACTACTTCAAGCTCTAGGAAACCTCTAAGCACCAGACAGCAAGCATTTTCCACTGGGTTCTCTAATCCAACGTGCACCAACCCGCCAAAAACATCCAAACACAACCCTAGTTTCAGCGCGTTGATCGGGCATGTCGGACTAGTTGAAGGTGGAGGATTTTTCGTCCTCCGAACGAGACCCATCACAGCCTTTTAAAGAAATTTTCTCGTCGTCTCTCTCTAATAAATGGACATCACAGCCCGCATTCGTTCAACTGCCATCTCCTTCTAGTGTAAGGCGGGTACGTGGATTACGGAAACATTCGTCTGCAAAACATTAGTGGAGTTTCGGATGCCGGAAGAAGAAGAAGATGAAGAAGAAGAAGAAGAAAGAGTAGGAATGTTTGAAAACGAGAATGGCCACGAAACAAAGGAAGAATTACCCGTAATGCTGTTAAACCCTTGAAACATTGGATTGACCAGAGAGCCCTTAATAAATGGGTTGCTGAGCAAAATAATGGAAAGAACAAAGAGTGAAACCCCTGTACCCAAACCAAAACCAGAAATTATCTTTCTCCGTGAAGAGATAGAATGAGAAAACTGCTCGAAAATACAAGCCTTTTCAAATCCATAACTGAGGAAAATCATAACCCCCAAAAGAATAGAAGAAATTCTAGTGCAGTGCAGTATCCCAAAGAACAACAACAAAAAGGTAATGGTGAGTGAGAAGAAGAAAGCAGAAGTGCTTGAAAAGGTTTCTCCCTCGAAGAGAAGAGGCGAGAGGATGAATAGGCGGCACTGTCGATCTGGTTTTACTGGATGGTTGATAAAGAAAATTAGATGACACTTGAAAGGCATTTTTGTCTTTTTTGCATGTCACTACAGCTGGTTAACACCGGGTACTAAATCATTGCAAAATGAAAGTTCGGGCACTAAATTTGCACTTAGCCTAAAGTATAGGGTACCTATCAAGAATTTTTCCTATTTTTTTATTTTCAATTCAAATGGCTCGAGTCTAAGTGAAGCTTTGTCTTATTGTAGTCCCCTCTGCATAAATAGACGAAGCTAGGGTTGAGCACTCTAATTAAGCATGCTGATATGGCCAAATCCATATGCCAATTCAGAGTCGGAGTTCCAACTTTCATTGATGGTAGAGATGGCAATTTTTTAACCCAACATGTTAACCCGCCCAACCCAACCATTAGACCTGTTCATGGGCCAGGCTTTGGGCCTGACTTACACTGTATCGGGCTCAAGCTGTGGATCAGGCTCCATTCAAAATTTGGCAAAAGCTAAACCCGAACCTGGCCCATGAACAGGTCTACCAACCATTAATTTACGGGTTTGATTAATTGTGTCCATTTAATCCAAGGTGATTGGCTGTTGGGTAACCCAAGAAAGGAAATATTAATGGTTCAGGTGAATTGGAATATAGTTATCCCCGAACTTTAAAATGCAACAATTCAATACCCGAACTTTCAATTTGTGACAATCCGGTACTTGGCATTAACTCACCGTTAGTCGGCACGTAAAAGGATGTAAATAACCATCTCATTTTCGATAACCGAGTTTGAGTCATTTTCGAAATGATGAAAAATGACCTTCACTACAATAACCTATCTCTGCAAGTGGGAACCACTGTTCACTGCTCTAACGAAGACCACAATTCTCCCTACTGGTGCTGATAATCAGAATATGCCGTCGGAAAAGCTCAAATCAAGGGAAAAACAGCGCCAAAAAACATTATAGGAAGATTTTCACCATTTTATTGGGAAAATATCGTCGGAACATAAAGCATTTGCCACCATTAGAAGTGTTTTTAATACCACTATCGTCAGAGAAGAGAACGCTGGTTACCTATGCCAGAGAAGACAAACAAGGTTTGTTTTATTTTTTCTTGCTGAACTATGAAAATTCAAGATAACCCACGATCGACCTAGATTTATATCCTGAACTACGAAATGCACAATAAAGAAAATTGACCCAATCTAACAGATAATCAAAAGATTCAAAACCCAAGTAATCTCTCACCCGAAACTAACCAAATTAGAGATCATCATGCAACTGATCATAAATAAAAAAAAAATCAAAAAAGTAAACATATAGCCCATCATAAAATGAAATCATTTTTTATCAATTAAAATCAACACATTTCAACATGAAGCTTTTACCATAAAGGTAAAAGGAAAAAGCACCTAAGTTGGATCTCGTACCTTCAATTCCAAAATGAAAGATTCCCTAGCCGAACCAGTAAACATAGTTGTTAAGAGGGGTTAGATCATAGACATTCAGTAAGACCTGACTCCCACAATTCCCGTCGTTGCCTTCTGGAGTGATCGAGTTCGACGCATTCACAATTTTCTTTTCTACAACTTATCAAATGAGAAAATAAAAAAAGCTTAGACATATCACGAACAAGAACCCAAAAAGCCCTTATCACCTATTCTGCTATCCATGCCAAAACCCAGAAAAGAGGCTAAGAAAGAAAAGAACCTCAAGCAACAACCAAGGTAACAAATCAAACAGAGCTCGCGCGACAGGGAAAAGGGGATTTTATTTATGGAGGAAAGAAAAAGTGTTCAAAACAACACCAGTATCTGGCCTATCTGTATTATATGGGACCTTCTTAGAAGGTTTTTCCTAGTAGTTTTGCAAATCACAAAGTATATTCAAATATTTTGGTCAAACCACATGTATATTTATATTTAAGCAATTAAACCTTTTTATTTTCAATTTCATTTTATGATTATAGTCTTTTAGGAATGTAGGGCTCGTTTGGCATGTCTTTTTGGAAAAATTTTCTGGTAGTTCTGAAAGTTAAAAGATGCATTGATTTTTTGAAGCATGTTTTTCATCGAAATCAGCCTCAAAATGGGCTTTTCATGTATTTTGGCGACTAGATCTTCTGCACGTCAAACGGAAATAGACTAAAAGTCGGTATTCCCTACTTGTAAACAGCTGAAAGACCACGCAGAAAGACATGCCAAACACAGCCGTATTAGACATGTTCCATAGCTCGAGCTCCAAGGTGAAGCCCAGCCAAATTCAAGATGCTAAATCCACTGAAAAATCCATTTAATTGAGGAGCATTTTTAACATAGAAGAGGTGTAAAAGACAAATATCTCGTATCTATGTGAATGCAACGATGTTTGTGTAGATAGAGATCATCTGGACCCAGAAGAAGAAAAGAATCTCCCTTGGTTTATGATGAGTATGTCTCAGAAGAACTCGTTAATGTGTTTGCTCAATACTGGTTCCACAACGCTCCGGTAGGCTTTTTCTGTTGGATGGTAACTGTCCCAAAATACGTAGTTAGAAACGTCTAAGCACGTAAGAGGGTCTAAGTCATTGCATAGAACCGCTACTTCTATCTTCCCCGTACCACAGCATCCTTTGTTTATCACTTCAAATCCTAGCAGACACAACACAGAGCAGGATTAGATTTCCCAGAAGATGTTTAGGTTATATATGGGGCTATTACAGATGGATCATGTCTAATCTGACATGAATATTTTCGATCATTTTGGATTAGTCTAATTCAATGTTTAAGCCATCCAATTTATTCAAATTGGTTCTAGTTCAATATATCTTATTGGTCCATCTAAATTGATTTTGATTTAAACGAGTCCAATCCAATACCGGTCCATTGACACCTTATATATATATATATATATATATATATATATGTTTGAGTGTATAAAAAAGATTGATATGGAAATGATGATTACCATAATTTTGAGGCCTTTGTATGATATCAAGTATGCGATAGTAGACATCAATATAGACAAGTCTTGACTGGGGGAGCTGCTGCTTAAGCGAGTTTAGCTCTGAAGATAGTTTGGTGTTGAACAACTTTGCCGCTTCATTGTAGTTCTCTGCACAACTCCTGTCTTTTCCTCCACCTAAGGTTCTTTGTGATGGCACACATCCTATTGGTGGAATGCTAATCAATCCAATCCTTCTTGCCCCTAAACCATACAGCTCCTGCCATGATATTTCACCATTTAATTTGTCTCATTTGCACTCACAAGTAATGCTTTTACACCTCAAAAGCAGATGCAAAATTTACACCAATTACAGAAATTAAATACATAGGGCTCATAGGGCTCATAGTGAGAAATAAAATAATTGTGAGTTTCATGTATTTTATTGCTGGTGTGAAAAGTTATTATTGGTTTCACAATCTAGACGAACAGTTGTTGCATTCAGTTAATCCTTTTCCACCTCTATCATAGGTTTAGCTGAACGCTTTATCCCATATATTTAAATACTGACATGGAACCTTATCATTGATTTCACAGTCTGCTAAACAGTTAAAGCATTCAATTAATCTAAATTTCTACCATATAAAGAGGGGCCACATCATCTTATTTACCCCCTCTTACTTCCATTTTACTTCCTATTTTACTTTTCACAAACAAATAAGACAAGTTCAAATATGAGTAAAAGTAAATCAGAATTTACACTCTCAACAACTTAATTACTGTCTAAGGATGTGAATGGGTTACCCAGTTGTATAGCCTCATGAAGTTTAGAAAAAAGGCGAGACAATAATCTCCACACTTGAATTTGGATTTACTCCTCATAGAGCACTTCTCACATGCACCTCACAGCCACATCTCAGCACTATGTATTGACAACATCTCCTTGAATAATAATATATAAGTACGGGAGATATTACCAATGTACTCAAACATGCTGTGAGGTCCACATGAGAAGCGCTTTGTGAGGAACAGATATGAACTCTAAGCGATTCTGGATCTCTTGGTCACGAGAACTCTTCTCACATCTATCCACAACACACTACTCTCGTGAATAAAATCATTTCCCCTTGCATAATACCATGTAAGAGCATGAAGTGTTCTCTGTAGTTGCCATGTTATGTGGGTAGATGTGGGCAAAATTTGTATGGGCAGGAGATGTGAAATTATTCCGAGCTCCTTCAACCATGAAGAATTATGATTCCTGTACAACAGTACATGTACTCTAACTTAATATTAGCTACCAGTCTACCACCACGATTAACATACGGCTGACGTACACATCACAACTACAAGAGCCAGGCAGGACATAGTGACCGTCTGTATCTGGACCAGCAATGGACCATAAATGACCATGGTTGGTAAATATTCATATGGCATATGTACTATAAAATGCTTGTGCATAATTCCGTATAATGGTCAAACCAATTAGACCAAACGAACCGGAGCTGAGCCGGGCCAAGTCGCATTGCTCCAGAAATCCACAAGAGTTGACGTCAAGTTGAGGTGGTTCCTTTAATTTATCAGCGGTAAAAAAGGAAGATGCAGCCATGCATATATGGTCTTCCATTAGAGAGGGTGCGGGATATATATATATATATATTTTTTAAATTGGAATGGGCCGTCCATTCGAATGAATGGTCGAACCACTGACCTAAAAACCAGTGGCCAAAGTAGTTTGGATTTTTAGCTCGGTTTTTAAAACATTGAGAGAAATTGCTGATTAGTGGTTACCATCTAATAAAAAGGGCATTCCAGTGCATGAGGTTCCTGTCAATGTGAGGTATGGGGAGGGAGAGATGTATGCAGCCTTTGCATATATAGGGTGGCTGTTTTCAAGATTTGAATCCTAGTCATCAAATCGCAATGGAACAAAATGGGTGTCAAATGGACCAGATTTAGACCAATCTGATCTAGCCCATTATGAATCCATTACAAATGAACTCGGTCCAATCCCATCCAATAAATTTTTTGGACCATTTTGGATCAGTCCAATTAATTTAATGTTTGGACCATCCAATCTATCAAGTTGTTTTTAGTTTAGATTTGTTCCACTCCAAACCTGGTCCATTGACACTTGTATTCTTATTTTCTATCAATGGACTAAATATTAGTTTATTCTGACACAATCCAATAAAAACCCCATTATGAATGGACCAGATCCAACCCGGGGATTGGACCACTATATTAAGTCTCGACTGGTCCAATTCAATATGTCTTATTCGTCTATCCAATCCATCTAAATTGATTTTGATTTTGATTTTGATGAATCCATTCTTAAACTGGTCCATTAACACCCTTAGGAGCAACCCATCCACAATGCCAAAGGCTCACCCTGTAGTGATTACAATCTAAGGCATAGAATAATGTTTTCAAAACCAGATTGAACGGTCAGACTGAAAAAACTGGGAACAGGTTATTTGGCCGGTTCTGTTTAACCCTAAAACCGTTTTTGGCCAAAAAACTTTGATTTGGTCAGTGAACCGTTGACCCATGCGGTCAGACCATTGAACCATTCAACTCAGGAATGGTTTTTGCCATTTTTTATTTTTAATTTTTTAATTTTTTTTATTTTTTCTGTCAGAACGGGCGGTCCATTCGGACTGGACGGGCAGACCGTTCGACCCGGGAACCGGACCCAGAACGATTCCCTGTCCGGTCCGATTTTAAAAACTTTATTATAGAATGAAAAAACTAGTTTAATAGGTTGGGACTTGGGACTACTTGCCTGTACGAAACTAGAAGCCGACTGGAGCATGAGATCGGTGTAAGAGGGGACGTCGTAGCTCAATTTCCTGAAGGGTGTAGTGAAATATGTATTTGCGAGGTCGTCACTTCCTGCACAAACAATGTACATGCTCTCAGATATGATGGTTGCGCTTCTTTCCTCTCCCACCGCTAAGTTCAACCTTCCCACGTACTCTTTGAACAACTCCAATTGCTTCGACAGTGATAGAACCGCCTGATGTTTCAGGAATGAAAGAAATTAAAGGAAAGACCGGAACGAATCGGCACTTCGAAGATAAATGTAAATATTGAATGATTGGAAGGAGAAGAAGATGATGAACATACGGCGACTTTTGGGGTGAGAGGATCAAATCCTGTACCGCCTGAAGCAAAGGTTACTCCAGTAAGTAGGTCCTCTGTTCTTAGATTGGGGTCGAGATAAGCGGGCAAAAGCTGCTTAATTCCAAGACTGTCAGCTGGAAAAACAAAAGTTTCAAGGAAATTAAGCAAATCACTTGGCCGGAAAGTAACATTAAGCAACAACTATATAGGTTTTGCTTATATATTTATGAGTACTGTGTTATTCTATCATCAATTTTGGGTAATGAATAGCGTGGCCATAAGTGCTACGAATAGGACAAAAGATAATCCATGCATGGGAATGGGTTCCCCCATCCCTAGATACAGCCGTTAACATCGGAGATCCATACTGTCCGGTATCTGTTTGTCGAAAAGCTTAATTATGGTTCACCAGTCCCCCAGTACTAAAATTATCATCAGCGAGCACTTAACTGATCTACGTACTGGTTTGTGCAGAACCCATTTTACAGAAAGGCCGGACACATCCGCATTGTAGATACCTCTGTATCTATTCCATTCCATGTGAGTCACCTACTCTTTCCCTTTTTCATTCTTTTTAGCAAAGCGGGTGGTCGATGTTGAACCTCACGGAAATCGTCGGATCACAGAGAGGATAACAGTCAACGCAACAACTGTTTGAAACATTGCACGAGCTACAATTGTACCTGTAGAGCTCTAGCTAACCTAGCTATCCTATTAAATTCAATATAGAAGGTTTTTACTACTTTTAATTTAATGCTTTTTGATAAAAGAGGATATTCGTTTTATGCACGTACTCTTCTTTTTCTTTCTTCTCTGTGTATGTGCTTGCTACTAGAAACTGGAAGTGGTGTGCTCAGGACTGTGATATGAAACGTGTTTTCAGGCATCTCTCATGCATTCGTAGAGGAGGAAGCTGCCTGAACGCACTTGAGAGAGGGAGTGAGTGAGAGAGAGAGAGAGAGAGAGTACTACCTATAAGGTCGGAGGGAATCTTTCCATTGCTAAACCTTCCTGTGGGTATTCCTCCCATGAAATCCTTTCCATACGGAGAGAAATTGCACTTAACCAAGGTCGCAAGATTGTTGTTGTTGCCGGAGTCTACAATTGAATCTCCAAACACGATCAAAGCTGGGACTGTTGCATTGTAAGGTAAGGTGAGACGGGCATCAATGGTTGATAAGAGAAGGGAAGAGAAGAGAGAGAAAATAATGGTTAGAGAAATGGATGAAGAAGAAGAAGAAGAACCAAAACTCAGTTCTGGGGAGAGAGGAGTCATTGTTAAGGAAAGAACTTTCTTGCTTGCAGCCTTGCTCTTACTGTGGAATGGAGAAGAGTACAAGTAAAGATAACCTGCTCAACATGTCGATCGATATTTATATATTGGCCGAATAGTAAGATTGAGGCGTTTTAGTGGTTGAGATATTAATAGAAATACTCTGGACCCAATTATCAATCTGTGAACATAATTTACAGTTGTGCATCTAAAATATACAATATGATTCGACGTACGCCATTCTGGTTCTTGTTGAATACACGACTCACTTGTTTCCACACAATTAATCAGGCAATCTCTGTGGTTTAAATGCATAGCAGTGTTAAATTCATTTTCACTGGAGTAAATGCATAACAGTGTATTTGGTTGTAGTGTAAATAAATTTGTACTGATGTAATATTATGGTAGTGCAAATGATTTAGGTACAAATTCTGATTTATTTTTGCTTCAATTTTTACATTTGATTTCAGTACAGATGAAGTAAAATAAGACCTGAAGTAAAACCCAAAACAAAATTAAACCAGAATTTGCATTCTTTTCATTTTCACTCCCATGCATTTATACTATTACAAATAAGATTGCACTGCAACCAAACACAACCTAGCTAACAAACAATATAGAAAGTAAAATGATGCACTCCCCCACCTTATATGAAAAAAGAGTGGAGAGAGAGAGGAAGTTACTTATTTAGGAGAAGTTAAGAAGCAAAATGATATAACCTCCATTAAATATTTTATATGAAAGAGAATAAAGGTAGAAGGAAGGTGGTGCAAATTTAGGAGTGCATGTTCATAGGTTGATTCCGTTCGGTTTTAAGCTGTTTGGCCAACTGAACCAACTTGATACGTTGGATTAGAAAATTGGCCACCCAAAACCAACCAACCACTAGTGAAAATCAACCCTACTGTGAAGAATTAGTTTGGATCGATTTATTGATTTGATGAATCGGTTCAAAACTGTCAGAAGTGGTTTTAGTTATGTTTTCAATAGATTAAAATCATATATTAAATCATTAAAGTAAGGTTTTCATACTATGAAAACCATTTGTTCGTGACCAAACCAAAGCTGACCTTGACCTCTCAGGTTAACATAATGCATGAACCGAAACCAATCAAAATGGTTTACACATGACCAAACTGAAAACCGACCTGATCTCTCCGATTAGCACAATACATGAATTGAAACTGATAAAAAATAATTAAAAATCGATCAACTCAGATTGAATTGAGTCAAATTGATCGGTTTCATGAACAACCTTAAAATTTAGCACCATAGTTAAAAACAAATGGATGCGAAATTAATCGAATACAAACATTGTATAATTGTATGAATTCAAATTTGTGTCGCAAACAAATAAAACTTGGAGCAATCAATGTTTTACAGTAGCCTTGTGCAAATAAATGAAGTTATTTGCGCGTGGTTAGTCTCAACCGTCCCAATCCTACAGTAACTCCGTATATTGTGTTAACGCATGGAAAAATGACCAAACATACGATTGGTGAAGTGTAAATATGTATAGTTTTACGAGGACTGACAAAAACCCACTGGGCGTTGGACCAAATGGTGTGCTCCCTTGTCCATACATATATGATGGAGTTGGTTGACATTTTGAAGAGGCCATTTTGGATTTTGGGCCACTGGATCGATAGTTTGGTACTTCGGTTAGGTTCAGTGTCACCCAGGTGGGCCCTTCCTGAGAGTATGTCTGACAACCGTTGATTAATTCAATTTCTTCCCTAACTAATTGGGGCATAGATAATGTGTTAACTAAGGGTTCATTTGGTGTGTTTTTCCGTGTGGTTTTCGGTTGTTCATAAGTTGGGTAAATCAATTTTTGGTCTATTTTCATCTGATTTACAGATGATTTAACCGTCAAAAACCATAGCGCCAAAAAAACCTGAAAAATCCATTTTGGGCTGACTTCAGAAAGTTACAAATGAAGATTTTCATGTCTTTTATGTTTTATTCTCGCACAGAAAGATATACATCTGCTAAATGTATTTCAGGCTGCTTAGATCTTCATACAAAAGCTCAATGAGTCTTTTGACTGTTAGAGCTACCAGAAGATCTTTCGAAAATACGCTTCAAACGGACCCTAAGGCTCCATTTGGTGTATTTTTTATACGATTTTTTTCTGTTTGGTTCATAATAGATCTAACAGCCAAAAGTCGATGGGTCAAAAAGTCGTGAGAAGCTTATTTTGGACTAATTTTGGAAAGTTCCAAATAAAATTTTTTACATCTTTCTCGCTTTATTCTCACACAAAAAGACACGGAAAAACGTGTAATAGCGAAATTATCTTCAAGCTGCTTAGATCATCATGCAAAAACTCAATGCATAAAACTGCCAAAAGATCTTTTCAAAAAAACTTGCCAAACAGCCCTTAAGATAATTAATGATCCAATTAGCATGCAATATTTATGATAGGTCCACATCACAGTTATGTAGGGCATGTGGCAGGATTATTGAGCCTCAGACTATTTATGGGTCTCGTGAATCCAGACTCACGGAGCCCGGATCCAAGAAACAAACCGCAGGAATGCTAATTAATGCTACAACCACGCGCATTACTGGCTGTAGAAACTGGCACCACCCGATCCAAAGCAATCTACCTGCTACCTGTTGAGCAGGTTAAACCTTGTAACTCGTCCCTTTCTCTGTTCCATTCGGTTCAACCCACTCGATCGGTAATCGATCTTGCGGGGGCAATAACCTATAACGGTTGTTTATGATGGGGCCCACAGTAAGTACTTGTATGATTTCAACTGTGATTTTGTCTCCATCTCACCTGAATTGATATAAATCCGCTCATGTATCAAATGGTTCTCTTGAACAGATTTCCTACTCGTATCCCTACTTACACCCTACGGGCCTACTCACAGAACATTGCAGCTGTAAATCTCATAATACAAAACGGTAATGTGTGGCTGCAATTCAAGGCGGATAGAATGTGGGACCTGTGGGTAGAGATCTGATGGCTAGTGGGCAGGAAATTTGCAATGGTTACTGGATTATTCAAAATTAGTAAGGAATGCAGTAAATTCAAATGCTTCGACTGGCCAGTTGATTATAACAAGGCCATGTGGTTTGAAAATACCCACAGTACATTGCATCTGCACACCTCATAATATGAGATGGCGACGTGTGGCTGTAAATCAAGGCAGGTAGAGTGTCGATAGAGATCTAATAGCTAATGAGCACGAAATCCGGTTTGCAATGGTTCCTAGATCGATTCAAAATAATTAGGAAATGCAGTAAATTCAAATGCTTTGAATAGCCAACTGTTTATAACAAGGCCATGTCGTTTGAAAATACCAAGTGTGGATAGATATGTAATAGCTAGTGGGTAGGAAATCCGGTTTGCAATGATTCTTAGACCGATTCAAAATAAGTAGGGTGGTGTTTGGAACTGTGGGCGTTTATTCAATAAACAATGCCATTTCGATTGCAAAAATAAATCTTAATTTTTGTATATATCCATTGTTAGGGGAAGTTTCATTTTAACGCTTCTCCCAACGTATAGACATTTATTTATTATTTTACTGATGTAATGTCTAATGACTCTTAGTGGCACCTAATTGTCAATAACCGCTTTACTTAATTTTGCAAACAAATCAAATGCAAATATACTTAATGAGTAAATCAAATTATTAGGGAATGCAGTAAATTCAAATGCGGCCAACTGTTTATGAGAAGGTCATGTTTGAAAATAACATCATCCATGGACAAACCCATCACAAAGTGCTATTTATTTATTGCTAAAAACACAGACCCGCGCCTCTTCCTATCAACAACAACTACTGCATTGACCACCGACCATTAATTTACGTCCCCCAAAACCAAATGAAGGAAAACCATCCACCTTTATATCTGGGATGGTGTTTGCATGTGTTTCTGCAAAATAAAAATGAATTTGTATTAGTGAAATTTAAGATGTCTGCAAGGTTTTGTGTGGATGAGTGCAAATGTAAATATGTTCAATGCATGTAGTATTTGTGAGTCCTGTACTCTTCTCAAACTAAACCCAAATGGTAAAGCAACATCATTTAGGTCTCTTCTTTTTTTTAAAGATATTTATTTAAGTTTAACTTTATTCTTTTGATTCCCATGATAAATTATACAATAATTCTTTTATGTTTTATCCATAAAAAATCTTTACTAAAATAGGTAAAATTGTTTTGACACATTTTGGCAATTTCCTCCCACAAACATCAAATCAGGGTATTTATGCATCCCAATTCATCAGATTTATAAGTGTTTGTTTGTCATACAAAAATGCAATGATTAAGAGGGGGAAAACATCTTTTTTGACATTTTCATATTTTTTATATAAATTTATATTTTTCGAATCTCGAATTGATCGAATGAGAGAAAGACCAACTAATCTACCTTTTGCATCCATTTAAAACAAACAAGAAGATAAATCTGATGGTTTGACATACTTTCTATTAGGCTCTTACAAATTAATTTGCTTTGAATTTTATATACACACGCACACAATAAAAATCAATTTAATTTAATGATCAAAACAAAGCAATTTAAATGATCACTACTTTGGTCAATGAAACTGGTAAGACTATCAATCAAATGCCTTATGGTCAACTCTGCAAAGATAGAACAAGAATATGAAAACAATAACGCAATACAGCTACTGTGATCAATATAAGTTGGTGCTAGGCTGTTTTGTTTTGTCCTATTTTTTTTTTTTTTTTTAATATATATCACTCTGTTATATAGCCCTTGGGTTCAGCAGAAATTTATATTCCTATATATAAATCTCTTTTGTCTAAAGTCATTATCATCATCGTTATTGATGTAGGCGTATATGGCAAGGCTTTGGATGGCACCGGTTGGATGAGATATTCTGGTCGTTTTTCTCTGATTGTCTCCAATCACTTTATTGCAAGGTTAACTATAAAAGGGGGTGTGTTAGCTTTAAGTTAAAGCTGTTTTACTCACTCTTGCTCTTCTGTATGTTTGCTAGAGTGATTTTTATGGTGTTTGGAAGTGTGGGTGTTTTTTGGGACTGATTTTCAAGAAAAGATGCCCATAT